CCAAAGCTGCTGGACCACCGGGCGCCCGTCTCAGCAGGGTGACGCGGCACGCACGGTGGCACCTGCAGCCCAGGAGGCAGCCGGAGCTGCAGTTCTGTTTCCCAGGACAATGATCAGAGATTGGACAGCTCATCTTTGACTTGGCTTTCTTCTTTGGTTGTGGAAATAACGCATGTGCTTTTAGAAGCTTTGTTGGGAACAAAAATGCAAAGAGAGTACAATATGCATAATCGTATTACGCCGAAATACCCACCATCCTCATTTGGGTTTATTTCTTCCCAGTCTGTGAATTTCTTACACAGCAGTTTATGCTAAATGCGCGGATTTGCATGCCACTTAATGCATTACACACTAGAGCTTAAACATCTCCTCTCACGACAGCAGCTTTTAAAAAATGCTGCCCCCACCCCCACCCCGACATGCCGAGTGGCTGTAGGCAGGAGAGGGGAGAGAGACGTCGGGTGGAGAAGCAGCAGGGGACAGCAGAGACTCGGGCAGGTTCCCCCGATGATGCGAGAACCTGGAATCCACCGCAGACCAGAGTCCCTGCGGATGATACTGGGTGGGAGGATCCCCCCCACACACACACACACGTACACACACAGGGCGGCGTAGGCCAAGAGTGGGGAGGCCCTTCGTCATAACGGTGCTGCCTTCAGAATGGGGCAGTACAGCTCAAATCGTTTCGTCTGCGATCATTTGCTGTGCCCCAGAGGTGTGGCGTTGGGTCCCGTACAGAGTACCGGGGCTCACCCTTGTCCCTCTGAGTGACAGGCTGGGCGATCCCCGCTACTTCTTCCCTCTGAACCTGACTCCCGCATGTGTGGGCCGGGGCGGGGGGGGACATGGTGAACTCTGCAGCCCTAGACAATGCTTTTCTGACTCAGGGAGGCTGAGTCATGGTGTACCCCTCCCCCTACCCACCGGACACCAAGCAGTGGCTGTGGTGCAGAACTTGGCCGTGTACAGTGTGTCTCATACATTTCTCAATTCTCTAAGTGACCTACTTTGCCTATTTCTCCTCCATCCCAGTACTTGAGCCCATTTATGTCTTCAAAGGGGAGGTAGCGTAGGCCAAGCAGAGACTTTGGAACTAGATTTGAGTTTAAAAGAATCCGTAGTCTGCCACGCACCCACGCTGTCCTGCAAGCTACTCACTAGGCCAGACTCATTTTCCCCATCCGTGAGATGGGGCTGATACTGCCCACTCACCGGGTGACCGGGAGGTGCTAATGAGATACGTACATGAAGTGCTTTGTATAGTGCCCACTAGCTAATTGGAACTCAGTTGGTAATATTTAGAAATAAATTAGATCTTTTACTAGAAATAAATGCCTACATAATAGAAGCCTAAATATAGTTTTGCAGTGAACAAGACGCACTCCAGAGACGGAGAGAACTTTGTAGTTTTCCTAAGCCCACGCCTAGCTTTAGGGTCTGCCGTTGCAGAGTTTGGCAGGCAAGGTCACCTTCGGCCTCTCTTTTGTGTCTTGCTTTTATAGATTCCTATCCGATCTCCTCTCCACACATCTCAAATCTTTTTCATCTCTCTGCCAAGCTTAACATTAAAATTGGCCGCTCAGCTTCTGCCAGGCGGCGGCCGTCGTATTTCAGAAGCTCGGGGCCGTCTGGTCTGCAGGCAGCAGGGACTTAGCCCGTTGTCACTGAAGAGGAACGCTGGGCCAGAATCGGGCTGGAGACTTGAAAGCCCAGCCAGAGCTGCCGCTGGGTGGACTCGCCCCCACAATTCTGTGGGCTGGGCAGGGCGGATCTTTTATTCCTCGTGGAGGCAGGAGAGGGCACGGCGATCAGAGCAGATTTCACAGAACCTGAAGCCATTTGGTAGTCCAGTGAGGTTGGAAAATCCCAGACTACAAAGCAGCACGGGCTTCTCCAGCCTTTACAATGGGACTCTCCCGGAGTTAGACACACTGCTTCCCGGGCTTTGGCTCCCCAGAGAGTCCCTTATTCTAGGATATTCCATGGAACCATTGCTCCATAGAATTGAACTTCGAAAACACTCACATGGTTTCTCCAAGAAGGAGCTTGGGAATGAGGCAGGGTGAGGCACCGCCACTCTCTGGCTGCGCGATCTTGTGACTCACTAGTCCTCAGTTTGCTGGCCTGTCAAATGGACATGATAGTGAAGTTGTAAGGATAAGTGCAGGAAGCCAGGTGCTTGCAGGAGGCTTGGCAGTGGTGAGCATCGTCTTGTCCTGCGGTATCTGGGAGGAAGCTGAGCCTCAAAGGGTTACGTTCCCAGCGCAACACAGATACTCAGGGGGCAGAGCTGAGCGCAAAATCCAGGGCTCCCTTGAGTTCAGGTTCAAGGCTCTGAGCAGTGCAGCAGCGCTGTCTCCCTCCCTGGCCCTGTTGACCATCCTGAGCTCCCAAGTCCAATTCCTCAGACAGGTGTGCAGCTGTGGCCCCAGTCACTGCCACTTCCACCAATCCCTGGCTCTGTGTAGAGCCTGCCTCCTCCAGGCAGCCTGCCCTGCCACGCCCCACTCCCCACTGGCACCCAGGCTGCCCCTTCACCTGGGGTCACACTGGGCCTCTGATTCCATCACCCCTCTCGGAGCAGCCAGCACAGGGCTGCACGCATAGTAGGTGTTTTATTCGATCCTCAGGCTAGATCGTCCTATCCCGCTCTGCCTCTGGCCCTATTGTGTGCAGAATGACTTGGCATGGCGGGGAGGCTGGCTGTGTTGCTTCTGCTTCTTCCTCTCTCCCAAAGCCAATGCAGGGAGAGTTGTTGAGGCTCAAACTCCCGCACATTCCTGCCTTGCAGACGGGGTGCCTTTGTGGATGTGGCCCTGTGCTTGCATGCACCTCTGCACACCAGCGTGTGGCTCCTCCAGGAGACCAGTCAGCCCCCCACAGTCAGTGGCTGGGCCAGGCCAGATGCTCCCACTTCTTACAGACAGTAGCATCTCCCCCACTCTCTCCCTCCTGCAGTGAGCGCGCCCCCTGCTGACCGATCTGACCTCAGTGCCTTTCTCAAGGGCCTCATCCACCTGCGTCTCAGAGCTCAGCCCAGGCATGAGGCCATCCTTTGGATAGGATTCCTGGGACAGCACCGGGCCCCTGAGTGTGGTGGACCCCCCGTCCCCCCAACAAAGTGCTGCCCCACCCCTCTCCGAAGTATTGCTCTCGTCCCGTTCAAAACTTCTGACTGCAGTGTTGCTAGGAGCCAGTGAAAGATGCAGGTAGCGGGGGGCCCTTGCAGACGTGACTGGCTTGGGCAAGGCACCTGTCTGCATGGCCCCAGGCCCTGCGCTGTTCTACAAAAGCTTCCATGGCCCCCCCTGGGCTCTCCTCACATCTCAGGATGTCCCCTCATAGCAGGTGCGGCAGTATAATGTTGTCACCTGTCTGCTAGGCACAGCACATCCCACACTGTGGCAGGTAGACGACTCACCTAGATCTTGCTAAAATGCAGATTCTGATTTGGAAAGCTGGAGTGGCCTGAGGTTCTCCAACCAGTCCCTGGTGATTGCACTGGTTCATAAAGCAGCCTTGGAGCGGCAAAGATGGATTCTTCCCAACTTTGCTGGAATCACCTGGAAACATTTGAAAAATACCATTTCCTGGGTCACCCTTCTCCCCCACCCCCCTGCCCTCGTGAGCCCAGTTGTATCCGAATTTCTCAGAGCGATGCCCAGGAGTCAGGGACTTTTCGGACACACCCTGAGTGATTCTAGATTGCAGCCTGCAATTCAGAAGCCCTGAGCTGGGCTGTGGGCCTCTTTGGGGGCTTGCTCCACGCTGTTTCCTGGCTTGGAGCACAGCGCCTGTCCCTGGCACATATCCGTAGGTGTACCTGTGGCTCACATTGCACAGATTCCCAGCTTCTGTCCATCTGGTTCAGAGCTGGCCCCTGCCAATGTGGTAGGCCAAGCAGGCGAGAGTTGGGGCATTTCTGATGAGGTGCTGAACTTATACTGTGTGTGGCTTCATTGCTTGCGTTGACCCAGCCCTACACCAGGGTTAAAGTCACCTGAGCAAGACACCTTCTCCAGGAAGACCTTCGGCTACTCTGCCCCTTCCCTAGTCAGCTGCCACTTCCCCTTCTAACGAGTGCTGCTCTCGTAGTGTGCATTTGAGCTTCAGAATCCTTCTCGACACAGAGAAGCCCATCCAACTGAGTTCTCTCTTCCACTCTTTCTCTGTGCTTTCTCCACCACAGCCCTTACTAGGCTGCATTTAATCGTTTTGAGGTGCTTCAGTTCTTCTTCTAGATGGAGGACTTTTCAAGGGCAAGAACAGTGTCGTGTTCAGTTTTAGATATCCAATGCCTGGCATAATGGGCTGTTGAATGGATATATGCATGGATGGGCAGATGGGTGCATGGGTGGATGGATGCATGGGTGGGTGGATGGATGGATGGATGGATATGTGGGTGGATGGATGCATGCATGCATGGATGGGTAGTTGGATGCATGGGTGGATGGATGGATGGATGGATGGATGGGTGTATGTGTGGGTGGATGGATGGATGGATGGGTGTGTGGGTGGGTGGGTGGATGGATGGATGGATGGATGGATGGGTGTGTGGGTGGATGGGTGTTTGGGTGTTTGGGTGTGTGGGTGGATGGATGGATGGATGGGTGTGTGGGTGGATGGATGGGTGGATGGGTGTGTGGGTGGATGGATGGATGGATGGGTGTGTGGGTGGATGGATGGGTGGATGGGTGTGTGGGTGGATGGATGAATGGATGAATAGATGGATGGATGCATGCATGCATGGGTGTGTGGGTGGATGGATGCATGGGTGGATGGTTGGCAGGTAGTACCCACCAAAGGAGACTCCCAGAGAGAACAAGAAATTGGGCAGAGGAAGAGGGTGGCCTCTCTATCCAGTGGCCTGGGGCCAGGGAGCTGCCCAGTGGTCTTTATCATCTGTGGGGCCGGGCAGTATTACTGCCCAGAACCCCTCACCGTGGCCTTCTCAGAGCCATGGCCACTACCGCTTGTTCCCTCATCCTGCTGCCCCACAGCCTGCTCCTTGCTGGCAGCCACCTAGCAAACATCCAGGAAGATGAGTGCGTGCGGGAGGAAGGCCCTGACCCTGCTGAGCAGCGTCTTCGCCGTGTGCGGCCTGGGGCTCCTGGGCATCGCCGTCAGCACCGACTACTGGCTGTACCTGGAGGAGGGTGTGATCCTGCCCCAGAACCAGAGCACCGAGGTCAAGATGTCGCTGCATTCGGGCCTCTGGAGGGTCTGCTTCCTCGCAGGTAAGGGCGCCGGGGGTCTGGGACAGCCCTGCCCTGGGAAAACCTGCCCCAAGAGGCTCCTCCTTGCTGAGAGACAACCAAGAAAAATTGCTGGGAAACGACAGTTGGCCACACACAGCCCCATGAACTCTGGGTGGCAGCCCCTGCAGTGGTCAGGACCAGAGGCAAACTTGCCCTGCTTCGCCATGTCCATGTGAACAAGTTCTGTTCTTCAGGACATGGAACGGTAGAGAAGACACAAGTGCCAGTGCCTCCAGCTCTTGGGGACTGTGCAGGCTGCAATCCCATCTGGCTGGGCCTGCCTCCAGCTCACCAGGACTTCTCTGTCCTCTGTGCCTTTACCAGGGCCCAGGGCCAGTCTGCACCTGTGAGGCATCCCTGTGTCCTAGGCTTGCAGCAAGCCCGGGCTGGCCAGGTTCGCCACAGTATGATCACTGGACTTTTTTGGTAGGGCCATGTGATCTAGGGCTGCACTAGAAAGAGAAAAGATGTGGATCTCCTAGCTTTAAAAAAAAATGTATTATTTATTTGAAAGGTAGAGTTAGAGAGAGGGAGAGACACAGAGACAAACAGCTTCTACTCACTGGTTCACTCCCTAAATGGCCGCAATGGCTGGGGCTGGGCCTGGCTGAAGCCAGGAGCTTCTTCCAGGTTTCCCACATGGGTTCAGGGACCAAAGCACTCGGGCCGTCTTCTGCTGCTTTCCCAGGCACATTAGCAGGAGCTAGATCAGAAGTGGAGCAGCTGGGACTCGAATCAGGGGCCGTATGGCATCGTAGATGGCAGCTTAACTGGCTGTACCACAACGCCAGTCCCAGTCTCCCAGCTTTGAACTCCTGTCTTTGTGGTGGGGAGGTGGTTGGCCTCCACCAGTGTGCAGCACGGAGGACACCCCAAGGCCTGGCTTCCGTGTCACTTGGTGAGTCTGCTTTGGAAACGGCCTCATCGCGCACTGCCCCTGACTGTGTGGCATTGGTCTCTGCTTAAATCAGAAGCTGCTCTGAAGTGGTCAGGATCTGATTTCCAAAGTGGCTAACAGGGCTCTGTTCCATGACAGTCGCTTAGGTGGATCTGAGTGGGCCATGTGCCATCATCAGCCCTCTCCACGCAAAAGCAACAGGAAGGCACAGGCCCTGGGCGTGGCCTGGCATGGAGCGCTTGCCGTGCCGCCCTCTTGCCTGCACCTCTCGATGCTGGGCTCCACCCCCGGGGAGGAGCTCCTCGTGGGAGGGTGCCATGTCAGGACGTAGCCCCACCTCTGCGGTGGGCGACCGGCCAGGGACAGGACCCCCCTTCAGGTTTGCATCCAGCCCGAGTGCAAAGACATTGTGGTTCTAAGGTAGCATGTGAACGTGCTCGCTTTGCATCTGTTGGAGAAGGACCCAGAAACACAAATGATTCTTTGTCCACAGGTGAGGAGCGCGGGCGCTGCTTCACCATAGAGTATGTGATGCCCATGAACACGCAGCTGACGTCCGAGTCCACCGTCAACGTTCTAAGTAGGTGCCTCAAGCTCCCCAGCCCAGGCACAGGCTGGGCGGAGAGCAGCGGGGCAGAGGGGAGACTCGGGGCGCCCGGCTTGTTCCCCACGAGCCGAAGCCCTTGCGCTCTGCTGGTTACGCTGGCCTGAGCCCACTAGAGCTTGCTCTGCGGGTTCAGTCCCCAGTGCTGGAGACAGGTGCTGGATCTGCAAGGCTTGTGACTCAAGTGAGTGGGAAGGAATCCCCACCCAAGGAACAGAAGCAATCTCTCTGGTCCCAGGGGGACTGACATTGTGGCCATGGCCTCTCCAGAGTTGGTCCTGACACCCCATGGGGACTTGCAGTATTGCAATACAACTCTAATAACAGTCAACTGGAGTTTGGTTCCAGAAGTTCAAGGTCTCGGTCCCCAGCAAGACTGCTCTCACTTCAACGCCAGCCACAGGTTCACAGGGCCCCAGGCCACCTGCACCTCCAACCAATTGGTTACATATGCAGGGCCCCATGACCCTGGGCCCCAGAACTTGCTAGAATGATTCCTAGAACTTAGGAAAGTGCCATGTTCACCCTTACAGTTTTATTTAAAAGGCTATAGAAGCAGACAAATGAAGAGAGGCACAGGGCCAGGCCTGGGAGGGGCCCAAATGCAGAGCTTTAGTGACTTCCTCCTGGGTAATCGAGACCCATCATGTCATGTCATCCTGACACAGCAAGGCTTGCGCCAACCAGGAAGCTCACTTGAGCTTTGGAGTCCAGGGTTTTTCTTGGGTCCCAATCCATAGGCATGATTGAGTGAATGTTTAACCATTTGCTTGAAATCTGTGTCCAGCTCCCCTCCCCTCCCCAGAGGTCTGGCTGGTAGGGGCTGGCTCAAACCCTACCCCTCTCCTCACTGCTCTGAGTCACCTCCTTAGCATTCAGGGGGCCTACTATCAGTCACAAAGGCCCTCCTGTCACTTGGGAAACTCCAAAGATCTATTCCCCAGGGACCAGGGACAGAGACCAGGAAGTCTTTGTTATACAACAGAGCTGCTCCCCAGGTAATTATCAGCAGAGAAAGACAGAGTCCAGTGGCTACCCCCATACCACTCAGGGCGGCCCCTTGCCCATGGAAATGGTGACGCCCCCTGGGAGAGGAAAGATGGAGTGGCCAGGCCCCTACACAGCTGCTGTACTGGCTGGCCGTGTAGACTCCCAGGAGAGAAGTAGCTTGTACCTAGAGAAGACAGACGTCATGAACGTGCTGGCATTCGAAGTCAGATCTTCCACACTCTGCCCCAGTGGGGCCTGGAGCCTAGGCAGCTCATGCAGGGGTGGGGTTTTGAGGCCCTGGACGTGGGAGAGTGAGCCACCGGAGGCTGACGGGCTGTCCCTGTGCTGTCACTCAGAAATGATCCGCTCGGCCACGCCCTTCCCCCTGGTCAGCCTCTTCTTCATGTTCATCGGCTTCATCCTGAGCAACATCGGCCACATCCGTCCGCACCGGACGATCCTGGCCTTTGTGTCCGGCATCTTCTTTATCCTCTCAGGTAAGATCTATTGCTTTGTTTCCTAGCACTCTGGACTCCTGGAGTTCAACTCCAAAATACCTGTGCTGTGGGACGTTCTATGGGACAGACTGAGCCAGGGGGCTGGCCCGGACTGAGGTGCAGCCGGGGGAGATTTCTCACACTCCTGAGCCCACCCGTGTCCTGGGGGAGCAGTGGAGGCTCCGGAGGAGTGGCCTGACAGGCTCGCCGGGGCAGAGCTGGGATTGGAACCCAGGGCTACAGAGTGCCCCCAGGTCCCGGTCAGCTCCTACTGGCACTGAGTTTTCCTACGCTAGAAGGGGTTACGTCTTCATGATTCGCGTGTGAAATACATGCAATCCCCATTGGAATAACGACTCCTACACCTCCGCGGTCTTCAGCTACGCTCAGGCCACTCGCCAGGCACAGCCCATGCCTCCCAGCTCCTGCAGCTCCAGGCTGTCCCTCATTCGTCGCGTCTGTCAGGGCCTGTTCTGCCGGCTGGCATCACCGCCCACAAACACGTGTAATGGGAGATACAAGCGAGCAGAGGGGAAGTAGGTGCCCCGTGTGACCAGGGCTCAAGGGTCAGAAGGACGGCTGCGAGGCCAAGAGCAGTGGCTGAGACTCAGAGCAGGGTGGTCAGGGAAAGCCACCAGGAGGTAGGCTAAAGGGTGAATCGGAAATCGGCAAAGTCTGCTGGGGAAGAAAGGGTGCAGCCCCGGGGCACTGAGCAAAATCCCTACTCACTGTGGAGGGTGAGCGGTGAGGCTGGGAGACGTTCTTCCTGAGATTGATTTTATCTATTTGAAAGGCAGAGTGAGAGAGAAAGGGAGAGGGAGAGAGGGAGAGAGGGAGAGAGGGAGAGAGAGAGAGAGAGAGAGAGAGATCTTCCACCCACTAGTTCACGCCCCCAAATGACCACAATAGCCAGGATGGGTCCAGGCCAAAGCTGGGGGCCAGGAGCTTCCTGTGAGTCTCCCACTTGGGTGCCAGCGCCCAAGGACTTGGGCCACCTCCTTCTGCTTTCTCAAGTGCATTAGCAGGGAGCACTGAATCAGAAGTGGAGCAGCCAGAACACCAACTGGCGCCCATCCAGGATGCCAGCAGTGCGGGCAGTGGCTTAACCGGCTACACCACACACCGGCCTCAGAGACTGGGAACTGTGAGAAGCCTCCAGAGGATCTTGAGCCATGGGGTGACGTGATCAGGCTTGGATTTTAGAAATGGAGGGAGGCCAGTCCATATGTCCTCCCTGATCTGTGGTAACTAATAGCGCACCTGAAAGGTAACCTATAGAACTGAAACTGACACTTTGAGATGCGATGACTTTGAACGGCCCTTGCTTCGACTGTTGAGGAACAGGTGTTTTTTTTATATATATATATACTATTTTTTGAACTCTTTACTCAGCATAGAATTAATCTTATGTGTATAAAGTCAACTGAAAATAGATCTTAGTAAAAAATAAGAATAGGAATAGGAGAGGGAGGAGGAAGAAGGGTGGGGGTGGGGTGGGAGGGTGGGTAGGATGGGAGGAATCAGTGAGTTCCTGAAGTTGTAGTTATGAAATGCATGAAGTTTGTGTACCTTAAATAAAAGGTTTCTGGGTAAAGCAAAAAGAAGAAGGAGAAGTGGAGAGAGGGAGAGAAGCAGGAAGAGAGGAATGGGCGTGGCCAGGTGATGCTTGGGAGGGAAAAGACCACAGGACTACAGGAGGCTTCCAAGGGAAGAGTCAGATAGGAGTGCCAGCTTCTTGCTTGGCCGCTGGGTAGCCAGTGCACACATCACTGATCCGGGGGTCGCAGGACAAGAGCAGCTTTGGGGCAGAGGCCATGGGCTTAGTGTGGTCCGTGCTGAGTCAGGTGTCCTGTGACGGACCTCTGGGAGATGTCCGGAAGGTTGCTGCAAGTCAGGGTCCTGGCCTCATGGGAGTCGCTGGGACCAAAGAGAGAGAGATCTGGGAGCTATCAGCCTAGGGGATAAGAGAGGGAGCCCCAGACAGGGTTGAAACCACTCACAGGAGTGTGTAGAGGGAGAGGAAGGGAACATAGTAAATAGAGGGAGGCTTCTTTCTCCACCTCAAGGTGGCCTGGACGTTTTTTGGTGGAGGCCTTTTTCTTTGGAGATAACGATTTGGGCCAAAGAAGTGACTTTCAGCGTGTAGTTTGTGATTGGTCAAGTAGGAGTATGGGGGACTGGAGAGGAGATGATTGGATGGAGGATGTGTGGGTGGCTTAAAGGAAGGAGAGGTGGACGGTTGGATGGCTGAGTGGACGAATGGATGAGTGGATGGGTGGATGATGGATGGATGGATGATGGATGCATAGAAGGAGGAAGGGAGGGAAAGGAAGGAAAGGAAAAACAGCTGTTGGACATGAGGCATTCTGATGGCCACCGGACTCCCGAATCACCTCAGGATCCTTTTCCCAACATCTTCTTGTCAGAACAGCTTGGGAACCAGGTGCCAGAATGCCTGATGCCTAAGAAACGTTCCTTCTTTCTCCTTCCTTCCTTTTATCCATCCATCCACACACACATCCATCCATCCATCCATCTACACACACACATCCATCCATCCATCCATCATCCATCCACACACACATCCATCCATCCATCCATCCATCCACACACATCCATCCACACACACACACATCCATCCATCCATCCATCATCCATCCACACACACATCCATCCATCCATCCATGGTCCACACACGCACAGACAACCATCCGTCCATCCATCATCCTTCGATGCGTGCAAGACACACATCCCTCCATCCATCTACACACACATCCATCCACACACACACACACACATCCCTCCATCCATCCACACACACACACACATCCACACACACACACATCCATCCACACACACATCCATCCACACACACACATCCATCCACACACACATCCATCCATCCATCCACACACACACACACACCCCTCCATCCATCTACACACACACATCCATCCACACACACATCCATCCACACACACACACACACATCCATCCACACACACATCCATCCATCTACACACACACACATCCCTCCATCCATCTACACACACACATCCATCCATCCATCCGCACAAACACACATCCATCCACTCATCCATCCACACACACACACACACATCCATCCATCCACACACACACACACATCCATCCACACACACACACACATCCATCCACACACACACATCCATCCACACACACACATCCATCCATCCACACACACACACACATCCATCCATCCATCCATCCACACACACACACATCCACACACACACACATCCATCCACACGTCCATTCTTTCTTCCAGCCTTCCATTTTTCAGTCTTCCCACCCACCTGGCTTCCATCTTTCCATTCGTCAATACAACAGATACGTATTGAGCATCTTCCATGTCATCAGCCTAGCCTGTCGGTGATATTTCCACCAAGCCCAGGGAGTACAAATCTAGGGAGAAGTTTTCTCCTCCTGTGCACTTCACAGCAGAAGTGGGCTACAGGATCCAAACTCTAGGAATGAGGAGTGGGCATTTGGCGTAGTGGAGACTCCCACATCCCACAGCAGTCCCAGCGCTGCTACTTTTTTTTTTTAACAATCACATAAGGAAGCATTTATTTGAGGTTTAACATGAAATCATACAAATAAAATTTGTATAAACACAAATCCATATTGAGTCATAACACGGATAGCAAAGGACAAAGTAAAAACAAAACTAGTTGGCGGCTATATACAGTTGAACACATTTGTGCCTGGTACACTAGAAAGTCTTTTACAAAATAATCATCTTAGATCAACAGAAGACCAATCTTCAGTGTCCTTCTGCAAGATGGGTTTCTTTAGCATCTCCACAGGACAGCGTTTTCTGGTGTATGCCTTGCCTGCACTAATACTGATTCCAGCTTCCTGCTAATGCATACTCTTGGAGGCAGCCATGACGCTCAAGCAGTGGGTCCCTACCACCCATGTGGGAGGCCTGGATTGAGTTCCCACCCCACCCCCTCGCTCCCAGCTTCAACCCCAGTCAGAGGCTGTTGTGGGCATTTGGGGAATGAATAGTACGTGGGCGTTCTCTCTGCATTTCTCCTCTCCCCCGCCTTCTCATAAACAGATTTTTAAAAATTGTTTCAAGAAATCCAGCACTGAGCTGGGCCACAAGAAGTTGCTCTAACAATAGTAGAGAGGGTTCCTTCGGAGCAGCAGTGACTGCGTCATGAGCGAAGTCCCCAGGGAGGTTTGAATAACACCTGTTTTCCCTTCACATCCATCCAGAAAACTCTGGTTTCATAACATAATGTGAATGGAATTAAACCCGAACAGCTCGACAGAGTAATTAATTATGTCCTGATTCAATTACAGCTGCTAATCGATGGGAGTAATGCCTGAAGCAGTCATTTGCACAATGCAGCCGCAGCTTGGGCCCCGCTGGCCTCCTGATTTAGTGCTTGTCAGAATCTGGACAAACTCGCATTCCCTCTCCTGCCTGAGATGTCAGGTGGGCTGCACAGACCACGGGCCGTGGTGCACCAGCTGCCACTGAAGTCAGAGATTGGAGGCCCCAGGGGCCCGTATTGAGGGGGCCCATCTTGTCGCTGAGTTCAGTTAAGGCCACCTGCTGGCTCAGTGGTTTGCAGCCCTGGATGGCATTGCTGTCACCTGGAGAGTGCTGTGGTGGGGCTGGCGTTGTACTGTAGCAAGTTAAGCTGCTGCCTGTGACGCTGGCATCCCATAAGAGCACCGGCTTGAGTCCCAGCTGCTCCACTTCCCATCCAGCTCCCTGCTGATGCACCTGGGAAAGCAGCGGAAGATGGCCCAAGTATTTGGGTCCTTGCACGCACATGGGAGATCCAGTGGAGTTCCAGGCTCCTGGCTTCAGCCTGGCCCAGCCCTAGCTGTTGGGATCATTTAGGGTCTAAACCTTCAGATGGAAAATCTCTCTCTCTTGTTCTCCATCTCTCTCTGTAACTCTGCATGTCAAATAAATCTTTATTTAAAAAAAGAAAAAAAAAGAAGAAGAAGATAACATCAGATAGTATGAGGGCCCCCTCCCAGGCCAGGACTGGGACTCAGGCAGGTGGCCCGAAGTCGCTGGGCTCAGCAGGGTCTGGGGTTGGGGGGTGGGCAAGTTCCTGCTTTCCCTTAGGCTCCAAGATAAGTGCCCCCCCCACCAGCAGCTCTGTTCTTGAACCCCAGGCGTGGGGGTGGGGGTGGGGCTGGGGTGGACGCCACATCAGTAAACTCCGCAGCCCCCACCCTGAGCGTGTCCTCGCCTCCCCTGCCCCAGGCCTCTCCCTCGTGGTGGGCCTCGTGCTCTACATCTCTAGCATCAACGACGAGATGCTGAACGGAACCAAGGACGCGGACTCCTATTTCAACTACAGATACGGGTGGTCCTTCGCCTTCGCGGCCATCTCCTTCCTGCTAACAGAGGTAACCCCGCCCCCTCTCCCGCCAGTGCCAGGACTGGGGCACCAAAGCACCTGGGGCCGCCCACTCGCTTCCCTTGCTCATCCGCAGCCTGAGTCCACTCCCTGGCCTTTTCGGGTCTCCTCCACCAGGGCAAAGTCCCCAGCACCGTGCCCCTGTCCTCACATCCACCCCCTGGCCACCCCCGTGCTCCGCCATGGCTGTGTCAGGTGCAGACCCCAGCCCGGGGCTGTCAAGCCAGGCCCCCAGCAGTGAGCTGTCCTCCCCGCCTCCTCCCTGCAGAGTGCGGGTGTGATGTCCGTGTACCTGTTCATGAAGAGGTACACCGCCGAGGACATGTACCGGCCTCACCCCGGCTTCTACCGCCCGCGCCTGAGCAACTGCTCCGATTACTCGGGCCAGTTCCTGCACCCGGACGCCTGGGTCCGGGGCCGCAGCCCCTCCGACATCTCCAGCGACGCCTCCCTGCAGATGAACAGCAACTACCCCGCCTTGCTCAAGTGCCCCGACTACGACCAGATGTCGTCTTCTCCCTGCTGAGCCCCGGCTGCCCTGGACAGCGGACAGCAGACTGCCTCTCCTGCTCCCCGACCCCAAGCCAGCCCCCGAGCCCTGAGTCCCTGGTCCATAGCCCAGGCTGCCCAAGTTTAGCCCTTTTTTACTTGAGTCCTCTCCCTCCTTCTCTCCATAGCTCTAACTGCCCAGTGTGGGTGTCAGGCATCAGGAGTCTGGAGCCAGCAGGCAAAGGGATTGGCCAGTAGCATGGGTGATGCCCCACCTCTCACGTGTCACTCGCAGCCAGGACTCCCAGAAGCCAGTAGTTCCTCCATGCCCAGGAGAGGCCACTGCTCTGGGGGGCTGTTCCTCCCTGAGCTCCCGACTTGGTGACCCCGAGCCTAGGCCAGCTCCGAGAGGCCAAGTTCCTTTCATGGATGGACTCCAGTGCTTGCCCACTGGCATGGCGCTCACGTTCACGCTCTGGGCTGATGGGCAGGTCTGCCTGGCTCAGAAGTCTGGCGGGCCAGGCTCCTTCCAAAGCCCTGTCCCTTCTGTGTCACCCACAGCCCTGCACACAGCGTACCTGCCTGGGCTCTCCCGCGCCTCCCATTGCTCCCCTCCTTCCACCAGAACTCAGCTGGGAGGGGCTGGGGCCACTCTGACCCATGGTGAAATAGCAAAGAGGTGTTGATGGCTGGAGCTGTCTTAACATGTATGGCCCCTTGAACTCCTACTTAACACGGGCCTTTCAATGCCTTAACCCCAAGCAGTGACTCTGACCTTGAGGATTTGCGAGTCCGGCTGGTCTGGGTTCATATTCCCAGGCCCCTTGTCCAGCCCTGGAGATCCTGGGCCTACTAACAAGGACACTACTTCCAACCCAGAGCCCTACACTCAAACTGCGTGGGCAGGTGTCTAAGTAGAAGGCGGCTTCCAGAGGCGGCCTGGGAGTTACAGCTGTATCTGGTGACACCTGGTGCGTTTTGAGCCTAAACAAGCCAAACTTCAGATGTTCCACTGCCATGCCGAGGAGTCCCATGGGCACGAGGGGGTTGCCAAGTTCATCCTAATATTCTTTCCGGGGACTCTGCTTCCTGGGGATGGGACATCTGTAGGCAAAGCAGACGCTGTCCCAAGAGGAGGCTGGGTGACACCTGTTTTCCTGCTGGGAGCCCTGAGCTGGGAAGTTGGAAACAACTTCCGTGAGGTCCACAGGAGGAAAACGCTGGAGGAGCCCCCGCTGGCCTCCAGCCCCTCCGCCTGCCAGGAGTCGGTCGGCTCGGCTCGTGCGGTGTTTATTTTGCGATGTTGAGCAGCAGAAAAATGCATTTCTGCTGTGCCAGCTTCCCTCTTTCTTGAAGATGCCACTGGGTTCTCAGCACAGAAAGCCGTGGTGGCAGCAGGTGGCTCTGGCAAGCGGGGCAGGAAACGGCGCCGCTGGGGCGTGCGGCGAGCCGGTCAGCTCGGCCAGGGTGGCGTCCGCAACAGAGATCAATTCCCTCGCAGATCTGGGCCAGGGTCGGAGATCCAGGTGTCTGCAGGGTTGGGTTCCTCGGAAGCCCTGCTCCCCGGCTGGCAGCTGGCCCCTTTCTTGCTGAGTTCTCACCTGGACTTTATGCCCCATTGCACCCTGGAGTCAGGCTTTCCAAGTACCCGCTTCGTATAAAGTCACCAGACATTGCATAGCGCCGCAGTCAGTTAGGGGGATTGACTTCAACCGAATCACGCCTTAAAGGCCAGACACAGTCACATCTGTAGGTGTTGGGGCTGAGGGGTTCAACACGGGAATTCGGGGGAGCACAGTAGGAGGCAGGTGGTTCAGGAGCTGGAGTTTTCCACTCATTCCACAGCTTGTTCAGGGAAAAGAGAAGAGAAGCCAGAGGTGGCCCCAGTTCAGCCACGAGACACTGGGGATCCTTGGGCAGCCCCCTGCTGCTCCCCTGGGGGCTGGTGTGAACCATGTCCAAGCCCACCCTTCCCCCACCCACAGCCCCAGTGACCCAGTCTCCCGTGGACAGCTCCATGTTGTTCAGGTCTGCCACGTTTCAATCCTCGCCTCTGAACGGACAACAACTAGCAAGTCCAGCAGCCCACCACGGGGCCGTGGCCCTGGCACTCTGGTTACCATTTACAGAACATTCTGGAAACCACGGTCTCCCCCAAAGCTGAGGAATCGGCCCGTGTGCTGTGGGACCCCTGGGTGGCGTCTCTTCCCTGGCCGAGCGCCCAGGTATGCTGGCCTCCCATTCTTGTCCATGTCGTCAGCTCCTCTCTCTCTCCGAAACACTTCTCTGTCACTGTGCCAGGCTGGTGTTTGTGCACACAGGAACAGTAGAACGTACTCCTCAGAGCAAGCTGACTGCGGAGTGACGTCGTGAGGCTGGGCCTTGGCCGGCCGGGATGCTAAGCTGCGAAACGCAGGCGCTCTCATGCTGGGCACGTGCTGTTCACCCGTAACCCAGGAACACGTCCCTCCCTCCTGGGCGTGGGAAGCGGAACCTGTAAGTGTGCCACCGTTAGGGTCTTCTTTCTGTCTATAAATTCATCTCAGAACTGGGGCCTGTCTGCAGCCTCCGGACCACCAGGTTTTTGTTGAACTTCACAATGTATACACTTGGCTCAGAAATCACAAGTTGTTCTTCCGTGCACTGGTGGACCTTTTGTTTCCTCAAGCACTGTAAAAGGCATTGGGGGTGGGTCGTGTACCCACAGAGCTTGGGACACCTGCACCCCATCTTGGAATGCCTGGGCTCGAGTCCCATTTAAATGCCAGCTTCCTGATAAGGCTGATTCTGAGAAGCCGCGGATGGACTCAGGTAGGTGGACTCCTCCCACCCACGTGGGGGCCTTGGATGGAGCGCCTCCCTCCTGGTTTCAGCCCTTGCAGGTGTTTGGGGAGTGAACTGGTGGATGCAGGCTCTCTCTCTCTCTCTGACTTTTCAGATTTGTTTTTTAATTTAACCCTCGTGGAAAAATGGGATGAAAATATAAGTATTTGAGTGCAAAAAATACTTCGGTGGGTTTTTTTTCATGCTCAGAAAATGGATGGTTTAGACTAATAAACCAAAATATCACCAGTTACAGCCTAGAATGACTCAGGGTTACCAGCCGTCAGGAGGGAGGGAGCCGACGTGTTCCCTGCCATCCGGATCTCCCAAACTCCTTCTCGCCTCAATACCGTATGACATCCCCAAAAAATGTCTGTTACTGCAACTGTGCTCAGAGAGGAGTCGGGGACAAATCCACCTGTGCTACAGGCTTGTCAGTGAGCTGAACTAGATGTGGAGGGGATGCCCCTTGCTGAGTGAGCAGCCCTCCATCCTCTCTGCATGAAAGGGGTCAAGTTCAACAGAGAAACAGGCCCAGGACATACGACCGTTGCAAAAGTTGATGGGAAATGGAATTTTTACAAGTTGATTTCGGGACCAAAAAAAATATCTGAAATCCATGCACGTGAGGGGATCTTTAGAAATTTCATGGAAAAATAAATACTGTGAAAAACTATGGGTGGATTTCTAAACCTTTTTGCACCAAATAAACATCCTTTTTGTTTTAAAGAAGACCGAGAGCTCCCATCTGCAGATCCACGCCCCAAGTGCTGGCAATGGCCTGGGCCCGGCTGGAGCCAAGCCCTGGCTTTGATCCACGCTCGGGGAGCACACTGTCAGGTGCAGGGAACTTGGGCAGATAATTGGCCACTGGGACACCAGCACTCCACACAGTGGGCAGATGCAGAGGTGGTGCTCGGGCGAGGAGAGGCTGGGCCAGGCTGGCACCCAGCTGGCGCCATGAGTGTGGGCCCAGCCATGGCGGCGGTGGCTGCTACACCTGCTACAGGTGAAGTGAGGCTCCAGGGCTGCCACCTGGCAGGTCTCAGTCCCCAGCCAGTAGAGGGTGGGAAGCCGCAGCTGGCCCGGAGCCCCCACCAGCCCTTCGCAGCTGGCTGCCTTGCTCTTCGGGGTCCTGGTAGGCAGGTGAGCTGATGGGAACCAGGCAGGTGCCCTGCAGTATCCGCATCTCCCAGACAGGCACTGGGGCCTCCTGAGACTTTCATTCCGGCACAGCTAGGGTCCCTCAAGTCCCACTTCTCTGTGCTGGGACCCTTGCCCTCTATTCGGTGGTCTTGGAGAGGTCACACCCTCCCAGGCCTGGAAGGGCCTAGCCTACCTGTGTGCTTGCTGCAAGACTTCTCCCTGGGTGACCTTGCCCTTGGCAATCTGCGTACATGGGACCCTCTGCCCTGCGGGGTCCAGGGAAGTCTGTGATCCCATCGGGGTGCTGTCCTGTCCTCTGTCATTTCCCAGTGGTCCTTGGAGCCCCAGAGTTTTCATTCCTGCAGTGAGGGAAGTTGGATAAAATCATCGCCAGGCCCTGTCCCCAGGTCTGAAGGCCATAATTTCACAGGCAAAACCCCAACCAAGCTCAAGGGGTGAACGCCCAGCCCCAGACCCCTGCCAAGGCACCCAGACAAGACCCAAAAGCATGTGGGATTTAGCCATGAGTGCAGATACTTGGGGGGGGGGCCTCAGAAAAGAGCAAGATTGGGGCCGGCGCCGTGGCTCACTAGGCTAATCCTCCGCCTAGTGGCACCGGCACACCGGGTTCTAGTCCCTGTCGGGGCGCCAGATTCTGTCCCGGCTGCCCCTCTTCCAGGCCAGCTCTCTGCTGTGGCCAGGGAGTGCAGTGGAGGATGGCCCAAGTGCTTGGGCCCTGCACCCCATGGGAGACCAGGAGAAGCACCTGGCTCCTGCCTTCGGATCAGCGCGGTGCACCGGCCGCGGCTGCCATTGGAGGGTGAACCAACGGCAAAGGAAGACCTTTCTCTCTGTCTCTCTCACTGTCCACTCTGCCTGTCAAAAAAAAAAAAAGAGAGAAAAGAGCAAGATTGTGCATGATACTGTGCAGATGGCAAGCGACAGCAAGAGGGTGAGAGAATCGGGGAGGAAGGGAGGATTCACTGCCCTCTCCTTCCTCCCAGCCACAAGGGAAGAAAAGAGGGGACTGCCCACTCCAGCATCTGCTCCCTGAACAGTGCCAAGGGGCGTGAGACCCTGGGTCAGCCAGTTCAAGAGCAAGTTCAAGGTCAAGAAACACCACTTTTACACTGAACAAGGGACAGAAAAACTCTTCCCAGCTGAAAGGAACCCAAGATGTGACAGTTGGGGCCAGGGTTGTGGCACAGGAGGTTAAGCCACGGTTTGTGACACTGGCATCCCATATCAGAGCACTGGTTCAAGTCTTGGCAATGCCACTCCCAATCCATCTCGCTACTAAGGCATCTGGGAAGGCAGTGGAAGATGGTCCAAGTGCTTGGACCCCTGCCATGTGCGAGACCCAGATGGAGTTCCTGGCTCCTGGCTTCAAGCTCGCCCAGCCCAGACTGTTGCGGCCATTTGGGGAGTGAACAAGTGGATGGAAGGTCTCTGTCTCTATCACTCTGCCTTTCAAATGAATAAATCTTAAAAAAAAAAAAGAATCAACAAAATTGATAGTCTGCTGTGGGGCTGGGTTAAGGGAAGGAATTGGTTTTCCCAAAAAGCTCCCCCTAGGATTGGTATGAAGAGGCTCGGGCCCCCTGATGAGCAGGCGGGGCCTTGGAGGAGGCCGAGATGCTGGCCGCTGCCTCGGTGGACGGAGAGGTCGGGGTAGCCTCGGGGGCTCTGTGATTCCCAACACAGCCTTCCTGCGGGCTGCGGGGAGCAGCCTGGGCCTGGCCTCAAGCCTCCACTGCTCCAGCCCTCAACTCTGGCAACCCAGTGGCACCTCGAGCCTCGGTATCCCCATCCACAGGATGGGCCAGGGTCCTCGGGTCCCTTTCCCTGGGAAGGAGTGAGACAGGAACCCTGGTGGTTCCGCAGTGAGAAGGTGTGCTGACTCAGGGCTGAGCGTGGGAGCAGAGGCCCCGTTCCCGGGACACAGAGCCCAGCTGCCCCCCGACCCACCACCCTGCCCGTGGCCCACTCTCTCCTCCCAGCAGGAGAGGTTTTGGGGGGAGTGACTGCCACTGGCCTGGAGATTCCCCCTTCGCACAGCTGGTGGCATTGACTTCTGGCTTACACACTGCAGTGAGTGCGACACTTTCAACACCAACGAACAATTTGACGCCAACTGCTTTAAACAATGGAAGCATTTCTTATTTTTCACATCAGAAAGGCTAAGAGTAGGTGGCAGTTTGCAAACTGGCTAATTCAGTGTCCCAGTGACGTCAAGGAGCCAAACCCGTGCCGTTTCTTGGTTGCTCTGTCCTTGAAGTTGACTTTAACCTTGGGTTAGTGGCAAGAATGTGACAACAATTCCGGGTAGAGGAGAACTGTGCACAGATGGTTCAAATGCAAAGCCAGGGTGGAGAACCACTCACTTAGTTCTACTGGGACTTAGCACTGGAGCCGAGGGGAAGGGCGGAGTCAGAGCACCTTCTCCAGGTGGGGAGGGGTGGCTTCCCAAACAAAATGCAGGGGAGGAAGCAGGAGCCCCGGTGTCCTCTTGGCGCCCTCCCAGCCTGCATAGGCCCGCCTCCTTAGACAAGGCTGTGCCTGCGGCAGGATGTCAAGTCCCTGGCTCACGGCCAGCCTCTCTGCACCTGCGCTGTTTCCCTGGAGAGCTGGTACTCACTGGGGTGCAGCAAGAGGAGAGGCTGCCTGGAGGATGAGGATGGTGGCCCTCCACACCCTGAGCCAAGGTGCTGTCATTACCAGGACCAGCGATGGATGCCGAGGGACCCTCAGGGGACAGAGCTCAGAACACTCTGTATCAGTGGCTTTTGAATAATTCGTGTTGTACTTGGTGGTCATAGAAAGAGCGAGGCTTGAGGTGGTCGAGGGTTTCGGCCCAGGCAGTAGACCGGTTGTGTGTCACTTTATTCTCAGCAGCCTGAACTTGGGTTAAGTTTAACGTTAAACCCACCACACCACACACCTGCCAACCTATCTAGATCTAATACAATCTGTGTGGAAACACTCTGAGGTTTATTAAAACAAAACTAAACACTATTATATAGGCTGTAAAGTCCTCCTCGAATTCAGTTCTTTTCATTTACAAACTAGTGGAGGGGCTTTATTAAACAAATCCCAAGGGCTGGCGCTGTGGCACAGCGGGTTAAATCCTGGCCTGAAGCACTAGCATCCCATATGGGCGCCGGTTTGAGACCTGGCTGCTCCACTTCTGATCCAGCTCTCTGCTACGGCCTGAGAAAGCAGTGGAGGATGGCCCAAGTCCTAGAGGCCCTGCACCCACATGGGAGACCCGGAAGAAGCTCCTGGCTCCTGGCTTCGGACTGGTGCAGCTCTGGCGGGTGCAGCCAATTTGGGGAGTGAACCAGTGAACCATCGGATGGAAGACCTCTCTCTCTCTCTCTCTCTCTCTCTGCCTCTCCTCTCTCTGTAACTCTTTCAAATAAATAAATCTTAAAAAAAAAAAATCCCAGACGAGGCTCCAGGTGAGCGTTCTCTGTGAAGTCCACAGCAACCCTCCGTGTCCTAAATAACCAAGGCCGGATGCTGTCCTGCAAGGCAGTTCATGAACTTGACTGAATTCACCATCTTGAGCCCAGACTCAATCTCTCGCCTAAGTCTGCAGACGCTCCCATTTCAGCTTCTACT